ACTTGAATTGTTTAGCACCAAACACTCACCTAAGCTGATCTGACAGTATAGTTTTTATTTGTCCCACTTACTGGGTATATTCATACATTTTCACAGTAAAATCTATGCACTTGCTATTTGATCATGGGAGACCGGCTCAGTTATTGCTGGGAGTTAGATAAAATGGCTTTCATAAAATCTGGAAGCTTTAGAATGCTGAAGCACTTCTGGCTCCAAAGGTTTACTATAGCATGGTGGGGCCACGCTGCCTTTCCACTGTAGAGACCTAACAAAAGGTTGACAACATCAAGATTTCCTTAGAATACAACAGATGCAACTAACGTAATCACTTAAAAATAAATTTGTTCAGGTATTCATTCAACAAATACTTTCTGCATGTCTACTATGTGCTAAGTTCCATTTTAGGCACTGGGGACAGAGTGGACCAAGAGTGTGTTTTTCTTGCCCACATAAAACTTATAGTCTAAGAGAAATAATCACCGGAGAAAACAGAAGAACAAATTTTAACAATAGGGTGCTACAGACCAGAGTATATAAGGGTGTCCTGCATTCTTCTGTGTCTCCAAGCATATACAAGAGAAATGAGCATAACCTGTAATAACAGAGAAATAAAAGAATTTGGGAGGGAAAAAAACCCCACAACAACCCATAATTATTCTGAGAGAGTAAAACTGTGTGCCTTGAAATATTGAAGTAATTATCAGGTTAAATTTCTATGATCCCTGCAATTTCCATGAAACCTGGAAATGTGGGGAGCGTAGGCCTGGCATATCTCTTAAAGTAAAATTATACTTCTTTTTCACTCAGACTAAAAGGTCATAATTAAAGATGTAATGAAGCTAAGTGAGTAATGGGATCTGTGATTCACTGGGGAAGCGGATGTTGCCTGAGGCCCCCTCCTGCCCCTGAAAGTGGGGGTCACCAGCTCAGATGAGGGCTCAGAACCCTCAAGGAAGGGAATGCAGAGCTGTCACCAGGGCCTAGAGGAGAAGCTCTCCAAATTTATTTTCCCCCAGGAATTTTAGCATTATTTTTTCTGAATATTAAAGAAATACCAACTCACAGTAGAGTATTTGGAAAGCTTTTATAAAAGTCTAAAGAAGTATGAAAAATGTTACATACAATCACCTATAATCATCTCACTATCCTGAAGCAAATACTATGAGTGTTTTAATATATTTCCTTCTAGATTCTTCTATGCAATTTTCCTCATAGTTGAGATTTGCCTACTTTTTTCCTTAAAATTACCATAACAATAATAAGAGAAAGAATTCATTGACTACTTTCCATGCCTTTTATTTAAATCCTTAAACAATCTCATAAAATTATAGTTCCACAGTTGGCAATTACTTGACATCTCTGTGGCTCAGTTTCCTATCTGTAAAATGGGATATAATAGTGCCTACCTTGTAGAATTGTTGTGATGATCTTGAGTTAATATATCTAAAGTACTTGGAGCACTGCCAGGCATATGGTAAGCACCAGATCATGTTGACTATTACTATTATTCCATTTTGCAAATGAAACCACCCAGGCGTGAACAATTAAGTAGCTTGTCCAAGCTCAGTAACTAGAGCGAGCAGGGTCAGGACTTGAACCCAGGCAGTATGGCTCTGGAGTCAATGGCTTTAAGTCAAATATAGTGAGAGCCAAGGCACTTTTGAAAGTAAAGACTAGATTTTGGTCCACAGTTGGGATTATGACATACGAAGTTACATCCGATGGATTTCCTGGTATTCTTACAGAAGCTGAATTGCCAGAAAAGACATTGGGGATCTTGAGGGGAAACCTTTCATTAGGAAAGTGGGTGTTTCCAGGCTCCTTGACTGAGACACTATATTTATATTCTTTGCTACTGTATCTCTAGTTCATAGAAGAGTGAATCCCACCTGATGCGTAGTGTGAATTCAATAAGTGGTTGTTGATATGATGGAGTCATACTTAGCAAATGGCTTAGGGATCAGAGGGACTGATGTTTTCAGGGTAGCTGTTGACATCAGAATTCATCCTGACTTGCCCACCTTGGTAGAATGTCTGTTCCCTGAGAGAAGGAGCCATGAAAAGGATACGATAAAAAGGGTCTCTCTAAAGTCTATAATGCTTGAGATCTCCTGCTGAGCGATTGCCATTTTAACTTTAGCCGCATCATCCCCAGCTATTCTCTTGAAACCATCGTTGGCCTGGGCAAGCTGCAATGGAGTCTCACTGGCATCTATCACCTGGTGGTGGAAATGTGATTCCAGCCTGACCAGCACAGATGGCGGTTACTTAGGGTACAGTGAGGGAGGCAAGGCTTGAGTCAGAAAAAAGGGAACTATATTACTAAGCTATGAAATATTTCGGGTTCTACCTGCCGTGTATCTCCATTTTCCTCTTGACTCAAGTCAAGAACAATCTTGCTCATTTTGCAAGTAAGGGAACTGGGGAGAAATATATAGTATATGTATAGACAAGACTCTGGAAGGACATATATTAACAAGTTGCATTGGTTGAGTCTGAATGAGATTAAGGGTAGTTTTTAAATGTTCATTTTGCCTATATAATCTAAGATCATTTCAGAAAAGCTGGGGTAAATTAAACATTTTACCTAGAGTTAGATATTCATGATTTGATTCCCTTCAAAAAGACAGTTAGGTTCAGACCAAAAGTTCTCTGAGTACTGGGATCAACATTCTCAGATGCCACAGAAATGGGCACTCACCATTATTTCCTAACCTTCAGCTTCTATCTTCCTTAGAGCACTTACCATCAACCACTGCATATTTTTTAATTATTTGATTTTGCTTTGAACTCCCACTAGAAACAGGTAAATTCCTGAGAGTAAGGGCTTTGCTCTGTTCTTCACTCTCTGGTACATGTTTGGTTTTATTTATTTCTGAGAGAGAGAGAGAGAGAGCAGGGGAGGGTCAGAGAGAGAGGGAGACACAGAATCTGAAACAGGCTCCAGGCTCTGAGCTGGCTGTCAGCACAGAGCCTGACACGTGGCTCGAACCCACAAACTATGAGATCAGGACCTGGGCCGAAGTCAGACGCTTAACCGACTAAGCCACCCAGGTACCCCAGGTACATATTTGTTAAAGCACACATTTGTTAAAAGCAATCAGATGACTGAGGGCCCTTGTATAACTCAATTCTCCCATGAGAGGCAAAGCCTCCTCTTCCACTATCACACCTCCCCCTCCCCTTCACCTTCTTCCATGCCCATCATCATCCGATACTGTTCAGCACCCAGAGTACCTTGGAGTGTAGCAGGTAACCCATGACATCAGTATTTGTAACAAGGATTCACATCTCTTATGTTTTATGATGGTTTTCTGTATATTGTGTTTCTAGTGTTTTCCTCTTATCAATCTTAAACAATTGTGGCAGCTGCTTGGGTGCTGAAGTAGGGCAGAATGTGCTGGGCTTTAGGGGTGTGTTGGGGGTGAGGATAAAGGGGTGAAGAAAGAATGGGCTGCTACTTATCATTGTTAGTCCCCAGCCTCAGATGGGGAAAATGAGGACAGTGAGGCTCATGACTTGCCCCAAACCCCTAGAATGCTAACAAGCTTCCCTTTGGGGCCCCATAGCACTTTCTACCAAGGCACCCATGCTTCTCTGATTCCCATTAAACTGCAAACTCCTGAGGTTAGGGTCTAGGTTTTGTTTGCTTTTGTAATCCCACATCCTAGAATGGTACTTGGCACATAGTAGGTGCTCAGTTGTACACCTGTTAACTCAATTGCCTAAAGTAACATAGCTAGTAAGTGACAGATTTTTGACTAAAACCCATGCCTTCTGATTACCTTTGCATTAGATAAAGTCTTGGAATGATCCATCTATAGTGTAACAAATGCAGTCCCTCCTTGCTTTGAGTTTCATTTCTTGTTTTCCTCCTCTCATTTCACCTTTTGTTATTGCTCTGCCTTCCTACCACTCACTCTTTGGACTGGTCTTGCAGTGGGCTTTAAAACAAAAGGGTGTTTCTGGGCAATCATCAAAACATCTTTGCAAATTGCATCTCATTCATGGTCAGGAGAGGGTGAGGAAACCAGGGATTCCCCCAGTGCCCTGGCCACTCACTGGCAGGCAGTGGTCCAAAAAGCAGCAGCATCTTTCCGCCTCTTCATCCATGCTTGATGAAGAGGGTGAGAGAGGAGGGATGTGGGAGCAAGCTGAAATTTTAAGGAGCTGCAGAAATCCAGCAAGTGACCATAAAACCCCAGGAAGGCAGGCTTTGAATAAAGTCAATAGCAATGGAGTTTCACTTACATGCCAGACATTGTGCTAAACTCTATTCATAAGACTTCCTATTTAATCCGTGTAGCAATCCTAGAGGACAGGTCTTACTACACCCCTTTCGCAGAAGATAAAACAGAGGCCAGAAGTGACTTGCCCAATGGCACACATGTAGTTAGTTTTTTTTTTTTAATTTTTTTTAATGTTTTTATTTATTTTTAAGAGAGAGAGAGACAGCGTGAGCAGGGGAGGGTCAGAGAGAGAAGGAGATACAGACTCTGAAACAGGCTCCAGGCTCTGAGCTGGCAGTCAGCACAGAGCCCGACGCGGGGCTCGAACCCACGAACCGCGAGATCCTGACCTAAGCGAAAGTCGGCCGCTTAACCGACTAAGCCACCCAGGCGCCCCGTCACATGTAGTTAGTTTTACAATCGATGTTAGAACCCAGGCTTCTCTGCCTTCGGAGCCAGGCATTATGCTCTTCCGGGATACCCACGCTTTTCCGGAGGTCCCTCTCCCAGGGGCCGCCGCCCAGGGGATGGCGCTGTCCTCGGGGCGGGTGCCGTCCTGGGCGCGGCCGGCGCGGAGGGGACGCGCCGAGCGGGCGGGCGGAGGCTGGGCGCGCAGCTGCCGCGGTGCTGCGGGGCCCGGGCGGGCGCGGGCGAGCACGGCGGAGCAGATGGCGCCGGCGGGGGGGGGGGGGGGGGGGGGGCGGCCGTTTGGCCTTCGTAGCACTTTCCTTCGCGCATATGTTGCGGACGGGCGGGGGCGGGGGGGGAGGACGACCTCGAGCCCGCTGAGGCGGCCGGTTGCTAGCCCTGTTTCTTAACTCTTAAGCCCAACTCTGACCCGCGTCCGTGGGAGAGGGGCTTGGCACTGACGCATCAGCTCAGCCCCTGGGTGACAACCGTTCTACTTGTCGTTCTCATCATAAAGCTACAAGGATGGTCCTAGTCCCATTTTACAGCTGAAAAACTGAGGTCCAAGAAGGAACTGACCATCAACAGGACCAGAAGTGAAACTGAAGTTGACGGACTCCTGCCTGAGTGCTTGGCTCCACTTGGGGACCACTGTGTCCCCAACCTAAGGGTCCCATTAAAAAGTAAGGAACCTCCTTAATTTTGCCTCTCTGTGTTCCAAAAGACAGCCTTCATTCTGTAGGGCCTTTGCATATGATGTCCTTTTGAAACTTCTCCCCAGTTCCTCCTATCACCACCCCTCCCCCCATTTCCTCCAGTGGCTCCTTCAGATCACAGATCAGGTGTCATTTAGCAGAAGGCTTCGCTGAATAGCGCCATAGCCCTGACCACCCTTTTGGACCATTTGATTAATGTGTGTGCTCCTGCCCCGCCCCTAAGCTGTAAGTTGCCTGAGGACAGGAAGTGGGTGTACACTTTTTGCTCAGCATCAGATCCCAGTACATAATAGGCGCTTAAGAAATAGATGTGAATGAATGAGTAATTGAGTGGATGAATGAATAAATGAACAGGCTTTGTGAACTAACACCTGCTTCCTCACCAGCCAATGATCAGCTGGTTGGGGAGGGGAGGGCAGGTAATACAAGAATGAAGGACTGTTTGGAAATTCTGGGCCTTTTCAACTGCAGCTTTTTATTAATTAAATGTGTCCTGTGGCTGTTTCCCATCCTTCTCTTCACCCGCCTCCCTGTTGCCCTGTGACTAGAGACCCAGCCCTTCTTCTGTTGACAGAATGGAGTCTTCCTTATGCTGATGAATGAAGTGACCCTTAATAAGATGCAACCAGGCCAGAAAAAGCCAAATGAGAAAGTTGGCAGCATTGTAAGTGGTTTTTTCAGGGGAAAAGTGGGAAAATGGACATTAAAATGAATCCTTTAAGTTGCTTTTCTGACCTGCTTGGTGGGAGAGCTACGGATTCCAGGACGTTGGAGAGCTTCCCAGATGGGAAGAATTCAGAAGCAACAAATATTTACTGATGTCTGCTAGGTGCCAAGGCTCCTTGGGGCTTTTTGACAAATAGCTCGAAAGACGCTTGGCACATTCAAGACCTCATTTGAACCTCCCCCAAACTGGGGGACTGAGGTTCACTGCCTTCATTCTTCCGAAAAGGGAACAGGCTCATAAAGTCAAATGGTTTTCATTGCTCTTTGAAAGGGCCAAGCATGATTTTTAAAAAAACCTCTTAGGTTCATTGGTACTCGATTTTGCAGGTTGATAATTTGGCTGCTTTAAACCATTTCCCTGACTGGGAAAATGATTTCCTCCTTGAGAGGTCTCGGATTGACAGAGGCTGATGTACTTCATTTACTGAATTCAGTAACTTGCAGTTCATTCAAAAGACTAATAGCAGTAAGTCCTTAGCAGGACCAATAGCGATAGCTTATCAGTACTCATCACTTATTGACTAAGTGGCGCTATTAAATTAACATGTTGAATACTTTATATACATTAGGTCACTTAAACTTCACAACAACTCCAATGAAGTGGGCACAATTTCAGTCCCTGTTTTACACATGAAGGAACAGAGGGTCCAAGAAGTTAAGTAACTTCCCCAAGACCAACCCACTTGGGATTCCAACCCAGACAGTTCACCACTAGTTGCTACCATGTTAATAATTTTCAGGCTGTTCTCCAAGGAACCCCAGGGTTCTCCCCCACCCCCAGAGGTGAAAGAGTTTGAGGCCAAGGGACATGTGGCTGAGCAGTCCTGAAAGCCTAGTCCACTCCAGCCAGCTCTGTTCTTTTCCTCTAACGCAAATCTGCATGATTTTGTTGGGCAGAGAATTTCCAGGACTAAAAATATTTAAAGGTTGTGATGTAGTAGACAATACTACTGGTCCCACAACTTCTGGAGATCCAGTGCTGTCTCCTCTGTGGATCCCACAGTGGCCGGCTCTGTGTCTCACTAAATAAAAGGTGCATTGGATGAAATGTATCAGATCATTTAGGGATAGCTGTCCCACTGCATTTTATTCTTTCCTCCATTCAGAACTTCCACAGGCACCCACAGCCATTCAGACAAGACTTTTCCAGATCTGTCTCCAGCTGGTGGTTGTGGAGAGGGTTTGTATAGGTCAGAGATGAGACTTGGTGGAAATGACTTGAGAACAATCGCAGAAGGCACCTTGACTGTGGCTTCAATTTATTCCCAGGAATTTCCCGGAGTTATGGTGGGAAAGGTCAACAGCATTATGATAGAGAAAATCAGAAGCCTCAGGCTTTGGAGGCTGGGGAAGAGGGCTCTGCTACTGGAGAGAAGATAATGATTTTGCCTTTGGGTTATATTGAAGATTGAGGCACACATATGCATACAGTCAGCCTCCTGGCTGCCCAGCCTGTTCCCATATCCATACCTTTCTCCATCCATACCCACAAATTTTTGTGATTAATATCTTCAAGGTTACTTTTGATGCTTATTATGTATTCCTATCCTATTATGTTCTCTAATATTAGACATGTGGCCAAATTGGATATTAGCAAAAACTAAAACTAAAAACCATTAGCTAAAACTAAAATCAGATAAGGGTATACATTAAAATAAATGGTCAAGATGGAGAAGAGAATGTGAGTGCAGGTATGCAGATGGTAACATCCTAAATAGTTTCTGCTGTTGAGCTTCAAAACTAACTCTGAGCTTCCTGGTGGCCAGAGTGAAAAGCGAAAGACACTCTATTGTATGATTCCAGTTTTCTTTGAAAACAGTGCTTTGAAGGGCCATAAATGTAGGATTTTAAAGGTCCCTAAATGCAGAAATTAAAGACTGATTTTGTGGAGAAATACATGGAACCACAAATCTTTCAAATAATCCTCCCTAAATAGTGCTTTCCTCAGTAGAGCTTGGGCTAGGACTTAGGCAGAAGGTAGTTCAAGCTTTGAGTATGTGCACTATGTTTGCTTATTAAATGCAGATCCAACCTCAGAATTTCTATCCAGCCCATGACCAAATTTACTCACTCAGTGAACATTCTTCAAATCCAGAGAGAAAGATGAATAAGTTATGTGAAGTGAGCCTCACTCAAATACATAGTTTTAAATTCTTACAAATAAAATTTGCATTGATCTTATATAGGTGCCTCTCCTGCTACTTCTTTTCCATATCATGGTCCAAGCAAGTTCTGCCAGTCTGTTTAGATCTGGCCTTGGTATTTCTGGTTCACTTAGCCAGTACACCATTCATCTGCAAGGAAGGAAGAGAATAAAGATGTCATCAATAATATTCCTACAGAGCCTCCAAATCAACCAAGTTCTCCTAGTATGGGAGGCTGTAATTTGTTCCCTGATATATGGGGATTGCTTTTCTTCGGTAGCTGAGGCCCAATCAGTCTTCAGAGGTGGTTGTAATTAATAGGTAAGGAAGTGCAAATACATCTGAATTAATAGAGCCACTAGGTGTGACTAACTATAATATGATTACATGTGAAATTAACCCAGAGATCAAACTTAATCAATCCAGACTAATAACTGCCAGGACAACAATTTGTGGTTTTAGATGAGTTTACGTTGAAAGGAACTAAGGAAAATGAACTCTGTTAGAATGTAAAGGCTGCATTTTTTTAAAAAGTGTGAGCAGCATACTAAGATTATAAACATGTATGTAGAGAGGAGCTTGGGTGGCTCAGTCGGTTAAGTGTCTTGACTTCGGCTCAGGTCATGATCTCACAGTTCGTGGGCTCGAGCCCCACATCAGGCTCTGTGCTGACAGCCAGCTCAAAGCCTGGAGCCTGCTTCAGATTCTGTATCTCCCTTTCTCTCTGACTCTCCCCTGCTCACGCTGTCTGTCTCTCTCTCTCTCAGAAATAAATAAAACAATAAAAAAAATAAACGTGGATGTAGATGATATTAGTGTCCAGATGTCAGATAACCAAACCATTATTTATATTGACAAGTGAAAGTAAGCAAAATTAGAAAAACCAGAAATTAGTAAAGAGAAGCACAAACTTTTTTCAAAGATTTTCATTTTTAAGTGATCTCTATATCACTTAAACAGGGCTCAAACTCAGAATCCTGAGATCAAGGGTCACATACTCTATTGACTGAGACAGTCAGGTGCCCCAAGAGAAGCACAAATTTAAAAAATGAAGCTGAGGGGGTGCCTGGATGGCCTAGTCGGTTGAGCGTCCAGCTTCAGCTGAGGTCATGATCTCACAGTTCATGAGTTGAAGCCCCACATTAGGCTCTGTGCTGACAGCTCAGAGCCTGGAACCTGCTTTGGATTCTGTGTCTCCCTCTCTCCCTGCCCCTCCTTTGCTTGTGCTCGGTCTCTCAGAAATAAACACTTAAAAAGTTAAAAAAAAATGAAGCTGAGGTTACTGTAGGGGTTGTGGGAGGGAAGATGGACTACATGGGTAAGGGGCATTAAGGAATCTATTCCTGAATCATTATTGCACTATAGACTAACTAACTTGGATGTAAATTAAAAAAAAAAAAATTTTTTTTAAAAGCGAAGCTTAAAGAGTATAGAATCTGAGTTTCCCAAATGCTGTAACTTTTATTATTTATTCATCTGATTCCAGTAACATAAAAAATTACTAGATAATATTTCACTACTAGAATATACAATCTATAAAGAGAAAGATGAAAAACAGCCATAAATTTACAACTCTGCTTGAGAACCGCAACATCAACAAATGAGGTGCATCGCATCATGATCACAAACCTTCCCTTCCACCCCCACCCCAGAGGCAAACACTACCCTGACTTTCGTGTTTTGCTATTGTGGTAGATTATATGGCCAGTCCCAATTTGTCACCCCTCACTGTAGCCACACCTTTTTCTACGTAACTTTGCAGAGCCCTCTCACTGTGGATAGTGCACAGTTCCCTCTTTTTTTTCTTTAGTTGGTCATGTAACCTTCTTTGTCTGAGAGAAAGAAGCAGAAATGATATGTCAGTTCTAAGCCCAAGCCTCAGTAGTCTTTCTGGATTCCCACTTGCCTTTTTGCACCTTTTCCATGACAAACAGACAAACAAACATGCCTGGACTGCCAGTCAAGGAGAAGGATGGAAGACACGTGGAGCAGAGCGGAGTTATCCCAGCCGGGCCCAGCCTGCATCAGCCAACCCCCAGTTCCACGAGAGTAAACAGTGGTGGTTTCAAGACACTGAATTTTAGGGACGCCTGGGTGGCTCATTCAGTTGAGCGTCCGACTTCGGCTTAGGTCATGATCTCGCGGTTTGTGGGTTCGAGTCCTCTGTCGGGCTCTGTGCTGACAACTCGCTCAGAGCCTGGAGCCTGTTTCCAATTTTGTGTCTTCCTCTCTCTCTGACCCTCCCTTGCTCATGCTGTCTCTCTCTCTCTCTCTCTCAGAAATAAATAAAACATTAAAAAAAATTTAAGACACTGAATTTCAGGTGATTCCTTATACAGTGTTTTTTGTGGCTATCTCTAACTTCCACACACATCCTCTCTTTTCCTTATAGTTTTAGTACAGATGTGCCCTTGAACATACTGTTTCAAACTATGAAAACCGTGTTTTCAAACCATATATAAAAGGTTGAGCTCTTTTGCATGGCTGGCATGCGGATTGCAAAGGTACAAGTCAATGATTGGAAAAAGCCCCCAAATCAGCCAAGCGTATATAAAATTACAATCATAAGCAGGTAAACAGACTGTCAAATGGACACTCTGCCAACGAGCCCATCCAGTCAGGTCACTATAAACAATCAAAGCAGCACACAGATGATAATGCTGTTGAGCAAAACGGCAGAGAGATAAAGACTGAGCCCTCCATTTGTGAGTGCATCCCATCCAAGGCAGACTGTGGAGTCAGGCACACCCATCTCATAGCCTCACGCCCTCCTTTTTCACTGGTGTAAATTTGAGCAGTCAGTTTATTCTCTTGGAGGCTCAGTTTTGCCATCTGAGAAACAGAGATGATAATGTCCCCCAGCACAACACCGTTCATTCACTCACCCTTTTGAAGCAAGAGGTCTCAATTCTAACTTCTATAAAGGGGATGAGAGTTGATGGAATAAGGCCTAGGATGGAAAGAAAGAGGAACTTTTTTCTTCTGAGGCACAGACGATTTGTGAATTGAAGGAAACACATTTGAAGAATGTCCAGCTGACATCATTTCCCTTCGCAGTGAAGAAGACCAAGTCATCTGCAGGTTTGGGTGCATCAGAGTTAATGTCCTGTGGAAAGAGCTCTGAACAGCCAGAGGAGAGAAAAGCAATTCAGCTGCTTTGTGTTAGATCTTTAAATACTTAGAGACTACATAGTATATTAGATTATGTAATGATTTCAGGGGTTAGCTCCACACTCCCATTTTACACATGGGAGAACCAAGGCCCAGAGGGATCAAATCCTGATTAAATCATACAGTGAATTAGGGCACATCTGGGACTTGAATGCCAGGCTTCTGACTCCCATTCATTCTGGGGATTATTTGTTACCCAGAATTTGTTTCTAGAACCTCTAAACTTCCTCTTGAGGAATGTTATGTGTAGTTCTCATATCATCATCCCTTTTAAGGCTGGGAAAGCCAAGTTTTAGTAATCTTTCCTCATAAATTTCATTGCATGAAACTTTAAATTTTGTTTTCAATGTTTATTGAGAGAGAGAGAGCACAAGTAGGGAAGGGGCAGAGAGAGGGAGACAGAATCTGAAACAGGCTCCAGGCTCCGAGCTGTCAGCACAGAGCCCAACATGGGGCTCGAACTCAGGAACAGCGAGACCATGACCTGAGCTGAGGTCAGATGCTCAACCGACTGAGGCACTCAAGTTTTTTTTTC